AAAATCCTCTAGAAAATCATTTTGTTAATTAACAACTTGAATGCTTTCATTATTATTATTATTATTATACTCTCGATAAGTATTAAGTTTTCGTAATTTTTGGTAAGACCATCATTAAGACAATCTATTAGAGTTCTATTGGAAATCTACGAATTTTATCGGATGATATTGGTGATTTCTGTAAACAATTATCCAAGTTAATTATGAAAGTAAATCAATATAGATCATTCGTGAATTATTTTCAATCAATATTTCAGAAACTCCAATAAAAATCCCGCAACACCACAATTTTTCATTGATTCCCTATTGATATCTGGTCGATTTCAGAATCATTTGAGATAATCGATAACCAAGACTTTTTAGACGCCACTAAATTAGCAACAAATAATTCATTTATTCAAAGTATTCAAACGATTGAATCTCATCATCATTTTTTCCACTGAAATTCTCGAAGAATTTCCGTATCTACCGAGTCCACCTGACCAACAAAATCAAAATATTTGTTCACGAGACGATAATAGCTGTCTACTAATTTTGTTGACAGAAAATTTATATGCGTAGCGCGATAATTTCACAACAAAAATAATGGATTATAGCTGTCACAATGATTAGCTTCAGAATCAAAATAGAATATATAGATCGGAGTTCCTGTTGAAATTCCCCAAAAATTACAAGAGTAATTCGGGAGAAATATTCAGTTGTAATTATCAATAACTATTGACTGATTATTACCATTAATTATTACTGATTATTAGTTTTTTCTAATGTCCTATTCTCGTGTGAAGAATTTTGATTGTTTCCGAAACATTAATAATTATCGAGAGTATAATAATAATAATGTAAGCATTCAAGTTGTTAATTAACAAAATGATTTTCTAGAGTATTTTAAATTATAATTATTGAAACTTAATTAGGAATTACTGGCAACGCTTCAATTTTATTGATCGATTTTTCCTCGATTTTTTCAATTTTCCTTCAATTTTTTCCTCCAAAGAAAAACGTCAGAAAAAATATCTCTGAAAAAGCTCGAGATAAATCAGAAAAATGTTCGCAAATTATTTAAATTCCCATTCTAATCTTAAATTTCATAATTTTTGTTGATAAAAAATTAAATGTTAGACTTTTTTATTAAAAAAGTGACTCGTTAAATTCGATACATTATCATCGATAACTCTCGATGGAGTCGATGGTATTGAAAAATCGAAACGGCGTTATAAAGATTGATATTGATTTTATTTAAACAAAATTACGATTTTTCAAAAAAGTGACTCGTTCAATTCGATACATTATCATCGATAACTCTCGATGGAATCGATGGAATCGAAAAATCCAAACGGCATTATAAAGAGCTTATTGAGTACTTCAAAATCGTATACAGAATGTTCTCATAAATTGCACGAAGTACAACAATAATTAGCAATAAACGTGAATTTCAGATTGAATTTCAGAGCAAATATCCCATAACAATGAAAAATTAAAAAAACTTGAATAGCTCTCCAAAACGAAAACTAAATCAGTTATAACTGAAAACAATTCCAAAGAACCAAAAATGTTCATCAAAACGATATATAATTATTCCCATTTATTTGCATTGGAAATCAGAAAAATTGAACGAAATTTGAAATTTATATAAAACATGAAAATCACATTTCCACGTTCAAAACGGCATAGCTCGATGAAAAATGATGGGAATCAGATAAATGACGAATGATTTTGAAGCTTATTTAATGATCTTTCAAACGCGCCCATCATCTGCAACCTGAATACAATAGAAAGAGAGGAATCATCCAAAAAAACCCGAAGAAATCTCGAGCATTATTGACACAGATCATTCAGTTACGAATGAATTGTCCAAAAAACAAATGGAATTCGCCTCGCCTGAATATTTTCCAATGAAGACCCATAAATCATTGATACAACTGCAACAACCAATCGTCTTGCTACCGTATAAATATTATTGGAGGTATTCTGGATCACTTGAAAAGCACTCCAAAAGTATAAATATATTGAGTTTGGTCAACGCCAAATGCAACAAGCATCTTGAGTCAAGATAGGAGTATCGTTTGTAAATAGCTATGAAAGATTTAAAATGAAATCTAAAATTAGTAGCAGTTGTGAATGCATGGGTAAAGGCACGTAGAGCAATCGCTGTTGCTCGGTAACAGAGAGATGGATTAGTACCACTTGTCATCTACCATAATACCTCTTCCAACTAATAAAAAATTCATTTGTTTGCATCATCATCAGTGTCATTTACCTACTCAATATCCCCTGCTAAATCCAAATCACTGCTCAATTCCCCAATAATGGGCGAATTGTCAAAATAATCAGCATAACTGCAGTTTAAATTGCAGGTGTTAACATGGCATAACTCCAAATCACATGACTGCCTTCATATGAGCCAGAGAATTTTATTTTTCTCTTCCTGGGAAGAAACCTGAAGCACGACTCGATCCAAAATTTATCGCGTCAGCCGATAAACAATCAATCGTTTTCAACAAGCAACCGATGCATAATCGGAAGATCCCGAGTTCAAATCCCAGTCTGGACTATCCGATTTTCAGTAATTTTTATTGTAAAAATTATATCGAGATCCTGTTCCCCTTCCTACCTAATCCAAATCCTATCCAACGACTCCTTAGACGTCACAAAAATGTGGAACGCTATAAAATCATCCCGTTTACTATGTAAAAAATGATTGTCATCAGGATGGTCATCAGGAAATAAATCGGGATCACTCTAATGTTCAAATATCATTATCAACCCATAAAAACGGGGAACAAGCTGGTAATTGTATCCGTTCAATTGCATCCTTTCCAACGACTACTCTTTTTAGTAATTCTTGTTGTTAATAGATTGACTCAAGGATTTTATAATTATTAAAAATTTGAGTCTGACTGCATTGAGATTTTAGAGAATTAGTTAAGACGTTATCTGCATTAAATTAGGATTATTTTGAGATTTGATCAAGAAAATGAATAAATATATAAGATAATATTAATATTGTTAATTGATAATACAACATGATAATTCCTCAGTATGAGAGTTTACTATAATTTAAATTTTTATGTTAAAATCGGCGGGCGTCATTATGTCATTTAATGAATAGTAATTTTAGTAATCTTTCTGCTTAATCGAGGGACCATCGCAATCGACTTATTACGCCGTCATTGAATTCATATGGCTGATCATTTTTTGACGTACATCACAAAAAAGTTGAAAAAAAAAATCTATAAAACCATTTGCTGGAATTGGACAACGAATGACGCGATCTCCATTATAATCTGATGCAATGGAGAGGCTATTGATACCAACTTTTAAGTGACAACTCAATCCCTTCCGGAATAACCTTTTGAGAAAACGTTGAAAGATTGATTTTAAATAAAAAAAATATTCACACCTCACAAAGTCTAGACTAAATTTCATCTGAATTTATATGAACGAGTACAACTTATTGACCCTAAAATTCATGGAATCCCTGAAGCCTACGTGGAGGATAATAAAACCTACACCTACACCCACACAGACAGTATAATCGGCTTTGCTAGCAAGACCAAAAACAACAACACTCAAAATTGGATAAATCCAAATGCTCCACCCATACGAAAACAAAATAATCGAATGGTCAATAAACTGGTGGATCGCTGATAAAACGATAAAACTTGATAATCTTCGAGGGTTTTCCTGAGATGAAAAATTAAAACTGAACAATGAAAAATGAAAAATGAAAAATGAAAAACGACAAATGAGAAATGAAAAATGAAAAATGAAAAATGAAAAATGAAAAATGAAAAATGAAAAATAAAAAATGAAAAATGAAAAATAAAAAATGAAAAATGAAAGAGCGCAACTCCAGTTTCGGTAATGTAAAAGATAAAAAATAGTCATAAGGTCGCGGGATGTTACGCGTATAACTCTGACATTGCCATTAATGCGGATGGAATATCGTGGTTTTGGATTAACAAGATAAAATTGAAAGGGCGGAGCCTGGGGTATAGGGGCACTGTAAAAAAGCCCAAGAGCTCAAAAGAGCTTTAGCGACCTCGCACGACATATCGTCGAGTAAAACCAACAAAAGCACCAGAGAATTGACACATATTACCTTACAATGTAAATCCCTGACAATCCTCCCAACCTCATTAGTAAATCCACTCAACAATTAGAGAGCAAATCTCCAATAATTACCGGAGGGGTTGAATACCATCACGAGACTGAAATGTCAGAGAATTCAGCGCTCAGGATTCGATAAATAATCCCATTTTCTTTGGCACTAGTACGCATGCAACAATAGCCCCGGGGCGAGCTAGATGCAAGGAAAATATTTTTAAATAATATATAAATTGTTGAAAAATGGAGTTATGGATTATTCACTGATACGTTATCCTTCTGGCAGATGGAATTGACAACCATTTGAGGATTCACTCGTCGCCAAACAAATTATTAAAACTGGTGTGACTAAATCTCCAAGACCTCTGATGACACCTCGAAATCGAGATTATCACTGTGATTAACGCCTCAACAACAGCGAAGGTGAATTATTGAGCGAGATAGACATCACCTAGACACAAATCCATCACAGTACATATTTATCACCCACCATGTACACTATTATTTTCCATTTGAGAATCTCAGCTGTACATTTATTTTACTCTGCCATTTCCTTGGAGACTCTGGAGTTTTAACACATTTTTTATTCCACTTAAATTATCTAGACCAACCGGTGATTTTAATTTATTTAAGGATAAATTGAATAGCGTGAATAATACCGTGAGTACTGTGAGTACTGTGAGTACAGGGAGTACAGGGTGATGGAATGAGCTTCTCCACTGAATTTTATTAATGTTTTCACCTTGGTGTTGGCCACGGATTTTTCAGCTTTTTACACACGAGACACGGCGAACACTTGAATTGAACTCGATTTCGTCGGGGAATGGGTTTACTTGAGTTGTTGGTTGTTTCAACTGACTAATGCGAATTACACGAGTACTCTTATGCTGACTTTATGGCTGGTTACTTACGCCCCCGTATTGCGCGTTCAACCGCGTTCAAACAGAGGTTGTCATGTAGGTATTTGTAACACACAATGAGTTGATTCTCTTTTTTTTTTATCACCACTTCTTCAACACTCGCCCAATGATCAGATTTCCGCCATCTTAGGAGGTTGCCTGGCAGGGGGCGCCACCTGCTTCATTATTTCTTATTCCTCTCCCACTCTTTATTACTCTTTACATTTTTTCCAACAACCCCTTTTTTTCGATTATAAAAAAAATATGGGGATTGCTATTTATTTGTTGTTGTAAGTGATAACAATAATTGAGAGAAATCGTTTGAATACTGGGGTTCATTGTTTATGATGCTGGTTGGGGTGATAAAATATTTTATGATGAGATGATTCATTTCTTTTTTGGGGGAGGAAGGATTTTTATTTTGGGGGAGGGGAATTTTTGGATTTTGAGGGGTGAGATCAGGAGGGATTAGTCGGGATTTAGTTAGGATTTAATTTGGGTTTAATTTAGAAAGGAATGGGAATTGATTTTTTGGCGAATTTGCGAAATTTTGGATGAGATTTTTAATTTTGGGGCGGGGAAGGGGGGGGGGGGTAATCCATATTTCTCAGTTTTCTAGTTTGAAGAACTTTTTATTTCAGTTTGAGGGGTTGAAGTTTTTTGAGATTTTATTGATTTTGGGGTGGGGATTTATTTTGGAGGGGTGGCATTGGATTTTATGGGGTGAAATTTTTTAAACTAGTGTATACGGCGCGCTATGCGCCCCCAAGGTTACATGTATGGGGTATTATCATATAAAATCTTCATCTAAAATCTGAATATTAAAAGAATCTTAAGTATCTAAAAAAATTAGTCATAATTTAAGTTTTCTTCTTTAATTAAATTCAATTGATAAATATAACAATAATAAACAATTATATATAATAGATACTATATATATTATATATATATATATATATATTTATTATTTATATGAATATATTAATATGATATGCATAGCTTAGCTATGCACCAAAAAAAGCTGACAAAGAACGTTACATGCTTTTTTTTTAAAAGGGAAAAGGGATGTAGACTTTTGAGTTTTTTAGTCCGATGAATTTTTGGTTTTCTTTGAGGGGTTGAATTTTTAATTTTGAAGTTTTAGGGGAGGGGAAATTTAGACTTCATGGGGGAAGGATTCTAAGACAGCCTAGACTTTTGAGATTTTCAATTTTAAAAGGAATTATGATTTTAGTTTGAATGCTTATAATTTTTGGGAGGTTTCAGAAATTTTAGGGTACAAAAAATCTTGGGATTTTATGGGGGGAAAATATTGAATAAAAAAACTTAGAAAACAAAATTTTTTTAATTGAATTTTTTTTTTTTAATATTTAAAAAATAAAAAAAATAATTTTCGAATAATGAAGGGGACAGGGTGATTCAAAGAGGATTGACTGGAGTAGAGGCTCAGTTCTGGGGGTTTGAGTGACCCCAGCGGCATCGTAGTACTGCACCCCAAGAGAGGGAGGGCGCCACACGCAATGGGGTGTCGTCCCGTCAGCCGACTCGGTAACTGCCTCAGTAGCAGCCCCGCTGTCAGAGGGATTAGTTAACTGGGTGAATTTTACTTTACGAAATGTTATTTTATGTTACGAAATAGGTATTCACTGAAATTGAAAAATTCAAAATTTTCAAAAAAGTATCAGGGGAGCATGAAAATGGAGAAGGTATTCACTGAAATTTGAAAATTCGAAATTTTTGAAAAAGTATCAGGAGAGCATGAAAATCGAGGAGGTATTCACTGAAATTTGAAAAATTCGAAATTTTCAAAAGAGTATTAGGGGAGCATGAAAATCGAGGAGGTATTCACTGAAATTTGGAAATTCGAAATTTTCAAAAAAGTATTAGGGGAGCATGAAAATCGAGGAGGTATTCACTGAAATTGAAAAATTCGAAATTTCCAAACAAGTATCAGGGAAGTATGAAAATCGAGGAGGTATTCACTGAAATTTGGAAATTCGAAATTTTTGAAAAAGTATCAGGAGAGCATGACAATTGCGGAAGTATTCACTGAAATGTGAAAATTGGAAATTTTCAAAAAAGTATTAGGGGAGCATGAAAATCGAGGAGGTATTCACTGAAATTGAAAAATTCGAAATTTTCAAAAAAGTATCAGGGGAGCATGAAAATCGAGGAGTTATTCACTGAAATTGAAAAATTCGAAACTTTCAAAAAAAGTATCAGGGACGGGCAGACACCCCACCATTGGTGAGGTGAGGTACAGTGCCGGTGGGGTCATTCAAACCCCCCACTGAGCGGCTCAGTTCTGAGGGAGTACCTCACCCCAAGAGAAAGAGGGGGCCGCACCCAATGGTGGGGTGTCTGCCCGTCAGCGGACTCGGTAACTACCTCAGTACTTTCCAGTACTACTGAGGCAGTTACCGAGTCAGCTGACGGGCAGACACCCCCATTGCGTGTGGCGCCCTCCCTCTCTTGGGGTGCAGTACTACGATGCCCCTGGGGTCACTCCAACCCCCAGAACTGAGCCTCTACTTTAGTCAATCCTCTTTGGGGTGATTTGTGGTTCATTACAGGTTGATAAGAGGAATTTTCAATGATTTCTGACCTATCGACCTCAGAGGGCGCAGCAGCTGAAGGGGGCTTTTTTTGAAGTGTTTTCAGAAGTTTTTCGGGGTTTTGATGAAGGATTGAGGCTAGAATAGGCATTTTTTCTGTGATTGTCGGATTGTGAGGATTTCTAGATGATTTTGCATGATGAGGCATACTACGAGAGCCGAAGGCCCGTCGAGGATTTGGGGACTCTTGGGAATTTCAAGAGGTTTATTTGGAATCCACAAAAACGGGCATTTTTGGATCGCACTGCTAAGGAATGGGGTAATCAATGATTATCATTATATATTATTGGATACTATTAGATTATCGTATGGAGGACTTTCATTTGTTTAGGGTGAAGGACCAGGGGTAAGGGGTGGGTGATGATTGAGAAATTCTATGCGTCGATGAAAGATTATTTTTGGCAAATTAATTTATTGTTATCAACCCTTTGGATTCTTTCAATTTTGAGTTTCCAAGGTTGCGGGTGACAATAACTAGATATATGGCCTTGAAATGCCGAATGTATGTATTTATATATAGGTTTTTTTTTATTTAGTTCACACAGGCTCCAGGGGTTTTTTGATTTTAAAAAATATTTAATGTTTAATATATATTTTTTTTTAATAAAAATATCTTTATATTTTTTATTTAAATGTTCGGGTCAATTTAGAAATTTAGTGTAGATTCTATGAGATATGAATATTTTTTCAAAAATTCATTTTTCAATCGTTTCTTAAGAGAAATTTAAAAAAAATGCTAAATGTAGGAAAAATTCCACCGAAATTTCTAGTTTTTCGTAAAAACATCTGCCAAAAATCCAATTATTTATTCATTAATTTTCTCTTCGTTCATGAACTAGTTTAAGATGTTAACCAAAAGCCACAATTTTTTAATAAATTCACATGATCCTATCATGATTTCTGCTGCCATCGCGAGAGCACAGAATTCTCACAGAATTTTCAGAATTTTTAATAAAAATCTTTCTTAAATGTTTATCCTTAATATAGAGCAAAAGTTTAAATCACATCTTCAATTTTTATATGAAAAAAAAATGGTAAAAATGCGCTGATTTTTCCTCGATTAAATCCATGAAAGCTCTTAATCGCTTGATTACTTCCGGATTCGTCTAGCTACAGTAGCATTGTTCTACTTGTGTTTCTTCGGTGTTTTATTCTCACTATTTGGTCTTCAACTTTGGATCACACTTGATTTTCTGGCCGATCTGGAGCGACCGTATTTGAAACACACCAGTCAAGTCCCTGAGGAATTATTCCCAGCAGGACGACGGTCACTTTTCCACGCGCCATTGATCAAATTTGAAAATCCCGGTAAAGTTTATAGTGAATAATAGTTTTCAGTTCCAAAAGTGCAAAAAAAAAAAAAGAAATAAGTACAGCATAAATTTCCAGATTATAATTCTGCAAATATCCCCTGAGAGAAGGAATTTACCATAAAAATAGTACAGAGAAAAAAGGTCACATGTCCAAATATTATTTATAAAAATATTATTGCCAGAGATGCATTACAATAAATGCATTACATTAATATTCAAAATTTGATATAATACATCAAAATAAAAGGTATCACAATATTTTTTAATATTCTTTACAATATAATTATCTATTATTATTTATCACAATTATTGTTATTATTTTTATTGTTAAACATACAGAAATTATGATAAGAAACTAATAACTAATAAAACCAAGAGAAATGCGATTAAAAAAATGTCTAAAATATTTTCAGATGTATTATATCAGCAAATGATATTATAGTGCGTGATATTTCAATCGGTAAAATTTTGAGGCGTAATATTTTCATTAGTATTGATTTTACAATTAATTTTACTCTCAGTAATATTTAAAGGTGATACCGAATAAAAATACGTTAATGAAATTTACTCAATAAAAATAAATTAATGTGAATATTTGCAATTGAAATTGATGGATTTTCTTGTAATTAATAATCTCATTTGGGAAAAGTAATTATTTCCCTCAGTGTAATAAAAGTTACTTCTCATTTTCAACCTAGTTTGACTAATTTCCAGAATTTTCAGTGGATATTTGCAAAATATTGTAGAGTTTTCCACTCGACTCGTTATATCTGAAGATAAAGATAATGGCAGTAAATAATTTATGACTGATTTGATGAATTAATAGGTGTGGGATTTGTTCCGAACATAATTCAAACCAGCACATCTTCGCCAATAATTTGGATCAGCGACACAAATGATAATGGAAAGCCAGAGCGATATGTAACGGCAATTGAAAAATTCTTCTCCGGTAAATTACGGCCAATTTGGTATAACAAAGTTTATTTGTTTTATTTATTCAATGACAGACCAATTTTTCATGTAGATTACAAGCGAGATAGATCAAATTACGACGCTAATTGCTCCGACAGAGGATTGCACGTCGTTGCAAGGACAAAACCATGTTTTTTTGATGTCACTGCACTTGGCAATTGTTCCAAGCCACCATTTGGATATGAATTGCCTTATCAACCTTGTGTTTTCATCAAATTTAATAAGGTAAATATCCCATTGTTAACTATTTTTGGCATTTACCATATACACATTTATTTTGACATATTTTACATAGCTGTATCAACCTTTAGGTTTAGATGAGCTTAAATAGAAAAGATATGGAAAGTTTGATGAGGTAATGTCAATATTTGGTAGCTTTCGGTGATCTTCCGCGTATGACTCTCGGTGGTCTTTCGCGTATGAAACGTGTACTTGGCCGATACGCTACCGCGTATCTCGATACGTTGCGGTTACAAAAAAGGTAATTGTCAACAACGCCCCCCTTTACTCAATTTTCCTGACTTATAGTTTGAGACCTAGGTTGTATCTTTTGAATTTATATACTTCAAGTCACCTCATCTCGTAGAGGATGTGTACTCGTGTAGATATACACTGAGAAAAAAATTTTCTTTAGCCAATCATATTTATCTGCCATCAGTAAATCTGGCAATCACTGTGTAAATACTCCCATAAGACTTACTAATGCCGAATATATTTTCTTGTAGTCCGTAAAGATTATAGACTACTTTTCTGCTCCGACTTTTAAGGGTATATGTTCACTAAAATTTATAAATTAGGTTATGTCAAATAAATTCAAAACCGCTTGATGTGATATGATTTTTTGACGGAAATCAATTTAATGTTTAGCGTTACTCAGGGCTTGCGACGGGGACGCAGATGTATTTTTAATATTCTTACCTGATGAAAATATAATTTCAAGCATGAGAATTATATTGAATTTTAAGATTATTTTTATCTATTTTTCTCATTAGAGATTCGACTGGACGCCGAATTTTTATAATAATACGTCCCAGCTGCCAAAACCGATGCCAAATAATGTTAAAGAAATGATCAAACTGTCAACGGAGGTAATTTTTCCACTACTTTTTTTACTATAATTTTCTGTAACGCGACGTCAAAATTACGGAAAACTTTATACTGAAAAAAAAATTTAGTAAAATGTAGTAAACCTATTGGTTTGCAACAAAAAATAATTGTTTTATTATATTTTTGAAGTGAGTCACTCTTTAAATAATTTAATCATTCGATAGATTAGGGCTAATGTGCTGTTTCTTAATGAATATGCTGTGGAACTAAAAAAATATACTCATGATAATTATCGAAAATTGTTATCGAAAATAGAAATATATCCACGAATCATTTACTTAGTGACTACCGAGAAGTTTAAAAATATTTTTCTAATAATCTTAATATACAATGAAATTAATTAGTTGTTTTAAACAAATTTATTCAATTCAATATTTATTACTCACAATCATATGTATAATTGTTACATTCGTCAATTTCATTTTTTAGTTTCAAAACAATTTTTTTTCAAATTAACTAAATGTTTTTCACGGTTCAGTGAAATTTCATGTTCGCCTCATGTTACGTAATTTTCCGTGAATCTTTCTCTGTCAAGTCGATGGTCATTTGACGGTAATATGACAATTGACGGGATAAAATGGAAAATACACAACTTTTTGGAAATTTCTAGGGGAAAGTATGGTTGTCATGCAATGGAGCAAAAAATGTTGATAAGGAGCACATGGGGGTTATCAGTTATTTTCCATCCGCGGGATTCCCCTTTTATTATTTTCCATTCACTGGACATTCTCAGTACCTCTCCCCAGTGGTGGCAATCATGTTTCATAATTTGACAGGTAATTTTTCACTTGAGAATAATTCACACAAAGTTTTAATCCCCAAAACAGAATTACTTTGATAAAAAATTAATTTTCATTTCAATGCTGTGAAGTTCGCTAAACATTTCTATTGGATTTTGATTGAACTATTCAACTACTTTGAAGACTATTAAATACTTCTTTGGCAAAACTAGAAAAATTAATAAATTAATAGAACTTTGAAATGGTTTAAATATATAAAATAAGAATAGAGCAAGTGAAGAAGGTGTAAAACACATATTTTGTAACCAGAGAAAATAAAATATTATCATTATTATTAAATACTTTTTGGCAGACTCTAGGCAAATTTTTAATTTTCTATTTGTTGTTAACATTCTTTCCCATTCCAGCGAATCGACTGGTTAATGTTGAGTGCCACACGTGGGCAAAGAATATTGGGGACAGTCTTGCGTTGGATTTTCAAATTGTTATGTTTTCTTGAGAGAAGAACCTGTCCTCTAGAAAAAATTATGAAAAAACGAGAGATCTGCAGTCAAACACGAAAGATATTCACAATCATTTCAATCTTCGATGAAATACACTTTGAATAAAAGAAATTATACAAAATAAAAACAATTCGTCATTTTTTAATAATTTTTAAAAACCCACAGAACTATGAGCAATAATAATTAATATATTATGTAATTTTCATTGAGTAATTAATATCCTTTTTTTGTTAATATTGAAGTCAGCGTTGAATAAAGTTTGTTTAAACCTTGATTACTTAATGTTATTATTACCATGGTTATTATTATTCAATTCATTACTATTATTCATTATAATTAATTATTATAATTAAAAATAGGCGCGCGGAGGTCGTGAGTTCGATTCTAATCGGTAACAATTTCTAGTGTTTTCCTTTTCTCGGCTTGATTGTCTTGATTGTGATAAAATGGAATAATTACTATTATTGATTAATCATATACCTAGAAAAAACGAACCGTAAAGTACGGACAATAAAGTGTAATTTAACAGTTGTCTGATTTCCTAAATTACGATTTTTAAAACGTCAATTACGCGATATAAATCGTAATTCGCGGTTTTGAACCCGTAACTTATGATGTCATAAACTTCCTGTTGGTTTTCGGGGATTTCCCTGTCTACCAAATTCACTCTTTCTAAGTTTTATTTTCTCATTTAAGTAAGGATAGTTCATAGCCACATTCTCCGGGATTTTCCTTGGTTGTAAAATCATCAATACAAATATCATCAATCAAAATACACTGACTAGAAGGGGTCAGAAAAAAGAAAAAGAAAATATTTCAGGGAGTGGAAAGAATTTTGTCCTCTCCGGGGCAACTGAGTCTAACTTGTAAATACCTCTTTAGTCTCTTGTGCCTTCTGTCTGTCAAGTCTTAGAGATATTCAAAATTAAAATCATTTCTGAAAGTTAAGAAATGTGTTTGCTTATTTAATACCATAATCCAATACTTCCTAAATTACGTTTGAATTCCCGCGTTTTATGCGCGGAGAGAAAAATTCAATAAAAATTACGTGGCAGTTTCGTAATCAGAAAAAAAAATTCATTAAAAATTACGAAAGAATTACACACTTTTCCACTGATCTCTTTCTACTTTTTGAAGGTCAATAAAAAAGTGCCCAACTGTTTCGTAATTTTTAATGAATTTTCTTGTCATTCGCGGATTACGAAATCGTCATTTTGTTATTTTTATTGAATTTTACGCTTCATGTGTTTAGTATAATGTCTGTTTGTTCGTGAATTCTCTATTAACGTGGGGGAAAATTCAGATGAAATTTAGTGATAAATGGAATTGAATTAAATGAGTGAGAGTGCAGGTTGTCCACTGGCTATTCTGGATTGTCACCGTTGGTTGCCGTTGGCGCGCCGTTTCGTTGCCAGCGCTCGCTCTGAATCTCAGATTGTGTCACCAGTCTGCCTTCGGCATTAGTCGCCGATAGTTCGGCTCCAAGTGCTCTTAACTCATTATCTCAAACACCCCACTAAAACAAAAACCATTGAAAACAATACGGAAAAAAATATTGTACTGCCAAATAAATTTATTTAACTACTTCCAGTGAAATTCACAATTTTCTTCTGAATTTTCTTGGCAATAGTCATTAATTTTCTCAGTGAATGTTCTATCCGCCGGAATAGTGAGGGCTAGTGAGTGAAACCGAAAGTCTGGAAATTAATTTATCGCTATCTAACCAGGAAAAATTAATAAATAATGAGTGGAACGTCGAAGCCCGCGGAAAATGGAATTACTGAAGCTGATCAGTACATGCGAAAACGTCCGACTAAGACGAAGTGGCAGTCCTTTAAGGATGGCATTTACAATCCCTCGAAAGGTAGAATCCTGGGAAAAACTGGAAAGCAATGGGGTAAACACCGATTTCTATTTTCATTTTTTAAATAATTATTTATCCAGAATTATCTTCCATTTGCTCTTGGAATTTTAATTATACTCAGGGGAAAATTCATGAATAATTACGTGATAGTTCCGTAATTCTACCATTTGATGTGTAAAGACAGTTTACAACTTTAATTTTTTCAATATTAATTCATCAGTATTTGTTTATTATTAGCTCGACAATTTTCCTTATGTTGAATAGAGCGAAAAGTCACGAAGAATTACGTGATAAATCTGTAAGTCTGTCATGCAGTGGGGAGAAGAGAGTTTTCGACTTTAATTTTTTAAATATTCATTTATCGGTATTTGTTTATTATTTATTATTTATTTACATATTCTGATAGCAAAAGTCATGAAAAATTTCGGGTCAATTCCGTGATTCTGTCATGCAATAAGAAGAGAGAGTTTACTTTTTTTTTCAAATTTTAGTTTGCCAGTATTTATTTATTATTTATTCTTGATAATTTTATTTATTGCAACAGTCATATTCATGAAAAATTACACGAAAATTCCGGGATTCTGACATGTACTGAGAAAAATAATTCCTCTGTCGAGTAAATTTCTAAACTACAACAAAATTCATAATTTTCAAACGTAAATATTTATATTTATTATGATTCAAGGTAAATTTACTGGGCAAAAATAAATTAACATCTAAAAATTAATTTTTTCTCTGTACACTATGCAGAATTATCGACAAAAACCCGAGAATTAGCGTCCCAAAAAAATTACGCGATTCTCGACGGAAAAATATATAATTTACGGATTTTTGGTACCTAAATTTGATTAATCTCTAATATTTTCAATATAATAATCAAAATCTACACTTTTTCGTGTCGAATACTCCCGCAAAAATTCTCTTTCTCTCATTTATTCTCTCGTCATGGTTTTTTATTCCATTATTATTATTAAAACATTGCCTTGGTAATTATAATTTCTTGCGAATTGATACGTAATGCGTTTTTTGGAAATACTTTCTTTTCGCTTTCCAACAATTCAGGAGCGATTTGGAATTAAAAGGACAGATAAAATTACACTCGTGGTTTATCAATTCGCGTGAAATCTCGAATCTCTAATTATATAACAGCTGACGCCTACCAGTTCTTAACTATTTCATGTATTGCGAAATTTCACATCTTCCTAAAACACGATTTTTTCCAGAAAATAAATTTATTTTTCCAGAAATTTCAATGACCTTGAGAGAATTTACATTCCAGAAATGGTATTCCTTTCTAGGTGTTCCCCATTATATTTATTTATTAAAACCATATTGTTAATTAAAGGATTGATATAATTGAGTTTTCTAACGATTATTAATGTCTATAAAAATTTAATATTTTTTTTCAACAGCAGAGTCTCTGTTTATGTTAATAATTCTTCAGAGAGTACGTTCAAGGTCATAATTGATTAATGGTGATTTTCTGGAAGACTCGAGAGGGGAATACATATTTTTAATAATATTAAAAATCTGAATATTTCTCTGTAGTCAATGAATATTTGAAAAAATATTTTTTTCTCACTGTAAAATAAATCAAAGAAGCAAACACTCATAACAATTCAGGTTCACCCCATAATTTTTCACAGAATGCCATTAATAATGTTATAATTTTAATTATTACGAGAGAACTTGCAAGGTCATAATTGAAGTAATGATTAGGTAGAGCGATTTAAATTGTAACGATTAAAACCTAATGGGGAATTTCTGGAGGGACTCCGGGTGAGGAATATATATTTCTAATTACAACTAATTATATATTTCTAATTGAACAGTTAGTACTTCTCTCGAGCAAATGAATTTTTAAGGAAAACAATTTTGGTTCTAGAGTTGAATAACTTCTGTACTCGATTCAGAACCTTCGAAATGCATCCAGTTCCCTCGGTTTTACAACTTTTTTACGTCTATTTTTACGCAACTGCTCGCCTCCAGACTTGGAAGGTCGAAGTTTCGAAGTCTGAGAGGAGAAGCTTTGAAAGCGATTGATCTGAAGTCTGATCGACTATTGATGTAACTTTCTATTTCATCCAGGGATCGATTTCAATATTATTTTGTTGTTATTACATTTGTAACAATATTTGTGGTGGTAATTATATTTCAACTCAATTTTCTCTACCAATTTATAAAAATTTCCAAATTTCAATTCAGCACAAATAATTTTTGCATAAAAACCTTTTTTTTATTATAAAAAAATACAAAACAGATATTCTATATATTTTTTTTAAACTAAAATCAAACTAAAATAAAATTAAGAAATCTTTTAGTATATTTCTATTTCTTTTTATTTATTTTTTATTTGAAAACTATTTTAAAATTATTATTGATATACTGAATTAATTTATTTCATTCGTTATGCGTGAAGAATTTTGTTATCTCAATAGTTTCTTAATTAGTATTCGTTGATTTGACCGAAACCCGACTTAGAAGTATATCGACGATATGCTGACGATAATTCCGACGGTTCAAATATCGATAGACAAGCAGGAGTTGTTATCAATGCTGAATCCTCTTTATAGTTGATAACAATTTTTATCATGGAAATGTGAGTCGCGGGGAGAATATTAGATTGATATGAGCTTGAAGTTTATTTTGAGTTTTTCCGGGTTAAAATTGATCCTTTTTTCCTTTCTTTCTTTTATTAATAATTTCTATTGAAGATTCTCACAAAAATTTCTTCTTATTTTTATTTATTATCCTACAAAGAAAACCATGGAAAACCTTGGCCGACACGGCGCCCATCAACCAAGTCTCATCGAGAAATATTATTTGATGAAGTAGACGGGAAATTTGTAAAACGTTCCACATCTTTGTGATGTCAAAGGAGTCGTTGGATATGATTTGGATTAGGTAGGAAGGGGAACAGGATAATTCTCGATATAATTTTTACAAGAAAAATTACTGAAAAAATGGATACCCCAGACCGGGATTTGAACCCGGGACCTTCCGATTATGCATCGGGTGCTCTCCTTTTTCTATACTGAATATTACCAAAGAAGTAACTTCGGTTTTGTTCGGCTCGACTGGTGGGGAACACGGCCACAAGTGGGGATTTCGGAGAGTGGGGGTTACGGCCGAGGTTACTCCTCTGACAATATTCACTATAACATGTGTTTTTATTAGTCATACATCTGTATCCTATCTATAAAAGGTGATACACCAAAATTAAGTTGGGCGAGAGTAAGATTGGCTAACTTCATGCGTAAGACTTTTCACTCGTAACCCTATTTCTCATTGGTCAATTGGCTACGTCATCATCAACACCACGGAATCAAACGGCGCGCGGAGCGCGCGTTCGGTCTCGTATACATTAGGGCATATATAAAGACTAGTTTTAAAAAATTATGAAAGAAGATTGAGATACTATAACAATGGCCATGTAGGGCTCTCGCGTTAACACTTTGTCATATTAATTCAATAATATTATTTTGTTATTTATACATTATTTGTGTATTTATTACATTTCAGTAAAACCTTATCTGTATTTTTGTGAGCCTAAAAACATCGGGTGCTCTCCCAACTGAGCTATCCCTCGTCGGACTCGAACCCGCGCCCCACGGGTTTCGTCGTCCGGCCGAGCGATTTAACCAATTCGGCCATCGTCGTCGGTAAAAATTCCTTTTTAATTGATTTTTGGATTGATCTGAACAGAGACAAACTCTAATTATTTCACATAAACGCGTGATCATTCAGAATTATTCAGTGAATATGAAGTAGTCAAGGGCAACGAGTCAATTCAACCTCAAAGTCATGTTTTAATCAAGGAAAAATGAAATTTTGAAAGATATTGCGAGATGAGTTTGAATGCTACAAATAAATCCTGGAAAATCGTTTCCAATTCTATTATCACATTCGCTGGGTTATTTTCTTTAATGCCCTTTTTTCAGTTTCACTTATATATTTGATTCAAGTATATACTTTTATCATGCATCAGAGGAATTCAATTATAATTCATCATTCAAACAATCAGACAGACTGAACTTGTTTTCTAATCAACATCAACAATTATCACTCACATTCAATGATCCGAGGAAACCAATTGAAGATGCATATGCAAATTGTTACGATAATTATTTATCGATTCGCTATCTCTATTTCCTCTTCGATAATTTCCATCGGGAACTTTGCAACTTGATATGTTGTTCGAATAATATAACAATTATAAAGAGTTTATGAAGACATAATAAAGTGGCATGGAATTTATTGTTTTTCCACTAAGTTATTGACGACGATCGCTTCCCATTGTCATAAAATTATATAGCACTGCATCGAAGGTGAATATTTATGAGACTAGAACAATGAAATGTTTCTTCCGTTTAATGCTACGTGATGAATCGTCTCGACAAGTTCTTTTAATTGTAAAATTGTAGGGAGAGAGGAAATATTATTTTTTATAGTGGATTCTATTTTTTGTTACAAAGCTTAAGACGTGTCTGGGGAATCCGGAAATTTACTGTTTACATTGTAGATTTGGAAACATGTGGAAATACTCGAGACGGTGATGACGAAATACGAAGAAATTCATGGAAATGTGTTAGAGTCAAGCCCATGGGTTAATTACCCAATAAAATAGTGAAAACTCAATTTTTTAGAAAGTTGAGAGCAAATGTAAAATTCCATAAATTCAATTGAAATGCGTGAGACTAGAAATTTTTTGATTCATTCACTTGATACTCTAGTGTCAGTGACAAATTGACATGTTGAAAACCAAAGAAAATTATTTTTTTCATTTGTAAAAGTTTCATTGGTTGGCACAAAAAATGTATTTTCAAGAAACATTCAAAGAATGCATTAATTTTCATTATTTATTTATTTATTTCTTTAAGATCGTATTCATTCATTTTTCAAAAAAATCTTCAGGCTTCAGATATTTTTCCATAGTCTGAGTCTAAAGCTTTCAAGATCTTTACAAGACTTACAGAAATGGTCGATTTTTATTTGATTTTGATATTGAATTGAAATTTAATAATGGATTCGAA